GACTACAGGCATGCGCCACCATGCCGGCTAATTTTTTTTTTTAATATATATATTAGTTGGCAAATTAATTTCTATTTATAGTAGAGACGGGTGTCGCTCAGGCTGGTTTCGGACTCCTGACCTACAGCAATCCGCCCGCCTCGGCTCCCAGAGTGCTAGGATTACAGCGTGAGCACCGCCGCCTCAAAAAATCGCTTTGTGGGAGACCCCTCCTCCCAGCCCCTGGCAGACACTGACCAGTGCCCCATCCTGTGGTTTTGCCTTTTCAGAATGTCCTACAGATGGGTCCCTCAGTTCACAGCCTTGGGGTCTGGCCTCATTCACTCAGCAAAAGGCATGTGAGATTCACCCCCTGTTGCACGGACCGAGAACTCAGGCGTGGATGCGCCGCCTGTTTACTCATCCCCAGCTGAACAGGCTTCTTGGTTACGTCCAAGGCGTGGCTTTACGAATGCAGGCTGGATAGACTGCATACAGGTCTTCGTGCAGACGTGAGTTTTCAACTCTTTTGGGGAAATACAAGGAGCACGGATGCTGGGCCAGACGGCAGGAGTGTGTTTAGTTGTATAAGAAACCGCCGGGCTTTCCCAGAACAGCCGTGCATTCCGCATTCCCACCAGCAGGATGGGAGTTCCCGCTGGCTCTGCCAGTGTTCCGGGTTCGGCCATTTTGCCAGGCGTGTGCTGGTCTCTCTTTGGGTCTCGCCGTGCAGCATTTCTGCAATGACGAGTGACAGCGAGCGTCTGTCACGTCCCTGTCGGGCTCTGTGCATCTTCTTGGGCAAAGGTCCGGCATTCTTTCCATTTGTTACGGGGCTGTTCTGTGTCCTACGGGGTGGGAGACACGTAGCTCCATGTGTTTGTCAAAACCCCATGGAGGCCGGGCACGGGGGCTCACCCTGAAATCCTAGTACATCGGAAGGCCAAACAGGAGGATTGCTTGAGACCAGGAATTCAAGACCAGCCTGAGCAACAGAGTGAGAACCCATCTCTACAAAAAAATAGAAAAATC